TACTTATTATCTCCTTTTTATTTATATTATTTCATATTTAAATAATCATTTTAAATATAAAATAATAAAAATAAAGAAAGAAAAGAATAAATTAAGAATGAATAAAAATAAAAGATAATAGAATAAATAAAATCATAATTATTTATCATTAATTATATCATTAATTATATTATCATTTATTATAAATATATTGAATATTCATTTATTATTATTATATTTATTATCTTTTATCATATTTTGTTATTATATTATTAAATAAAAATAAAATATAAAATGAAATAATGAATAAAATATAAAATAAAATGAAATATTTAATAATTATAATTTATTAAAAATAAAAATAAATAACATTTTATTTTATTTCTTATTATTTATTGTTTTTCATAATAAACATCAATTGATAAAAATAGAATGATGATAAAGAATAAAAAAGAAGAAATTAAAATATAAAAATAAAAGAACTAATAAAAACAAATAATAAATAATAATAAATCAATAATGAAATTAGGATATAATGAAATAATGATAACATCAATGTATTTTAATGATATTAATGATTTTATTAATTTAGAAATTGGTGTTAAAAGATTTCAAGGAAATATTGAACGATTTCATTTTAATCCAATTCCATTAAATAAATATTCAAGAAAATTATTTACTAATATTGAAACATTTCATATTTATAATTATAATGATGAAATATTTAAAGATGGAAGAATATTTAAATATGTAATATGGTATTTAGTAAATTATTCAGAATATTTACAAGAGAAAGAACAAGGAAATATCTGTAAAAATATAGAATATACAAAAGAAGATAGAAATAAATATGGAAATACAATACCATCAGAAGTTAAATCACTTGGATATAAATGTTTTTATAATTGTGATTCATTAACAACAATTAATATACCATCTTCAATTACTAAATTAGATGATTGTTGTTTTTATGAATGTTCATCATTAAAATCAATTAATATTCCATCATCAGTTATATCAATAGGAGATGATTGTTTTTCAGGATGTTCATCATTAACATCAATTAATATAGAAAATCTACAATATATTAGTAAAGAAAGAATATTTATGAATAAACCAGTGTTAGTTAGTACTGAAATACCAGAAAATCTACAAATAATCAATGGAAAGAATATTGAAAAGAAAGATATTAATAAATTTATTATTCCATCTTCAATTACTAAGTTAGGAGAATATTGTTTTTATGAATGTAAATCATTAACATCTATTAATATACCTTCATCAATTATATCATTTGGAGATGGATGTTTTAGTTATTGTTTATCATTAACATCAATTAATATTCCATCATCTGTTAGTAAATTAGGAAGTGCATGTTTTTATGGATGTGGATGTGAAGAAGAATTAAAGAAAAATGAAAGAATACCAAGAATTTGTTTTGAATAGCGATGAATGAAATAAAAATACAATAAATGAAATACAATATAATTTGAAGTAGAAATAAATTATAATTGATTATCATTTATATTATTATTATTCTTTTCTTATTTATTCTTTTTGATATTATTCTTTTTTATTGTGTTAAAGTATTTATTATTATTTATTGTATATGTTTATTATTTCTTATATCTTCTATTTTATCATATTTATTTATTATCTTTTATATCTTTATTATTATTTTATTATTGTTGATTATTCTTATATTCTATATTTTAACTTATGATTTTCTATTATTAAATATAAATTAAATGAATTTGATATTATAGATAAATAAATATCAATTTTATTAATCTATTTGTATTTATATAATATAAATATCAATAAAATTAAATTATAAGTTAAATTAAATGAAATATGAATATGAATAATATTAATATGAAATGAAATAATTAAATAATAAGAATATATTTAAAATATAAATATCAAATACATGAATAAAATAATTAATATAAATAATAAAATATAAATCAAAATAAATAAATAAAATAATGAATAATAATCAATACTAAAATATGAACATGTATTTATC